CAAACCCCTATCCCCAAAAGGCCTGAAACACTCCTGTAGTGTTACAACTATCCATGGGCGTCGCCGATTGCTTACCATCAGGTAATCCGTCTGCTCGTTTGCCGATGTACCACATAAACAAAGCATCTTGTTGACAATACAGTACAAAGTCTACTATAGGTACTACGAACGTATTTACTTGGAATTTCCTTGACTGCTTAACTCCAGGCAATTAGTGGCATTATAGTAGTTTGTGACAAAGTAATTGTGTTATTGTTTACTGTCACTGGATAGGCAGGGTCAGACAGGTGGAACGCACGTCAGAAGATTATTTTCGCGGTATTAAAACGAAACTATTTTAATAGGCTCAGAGATGGGGAGATATATATAAGCAAATTATAAAACCCACTTTTCACTAATTGACTGCACGGTTGGCGCGGTGGCTGGGCAACCGGCTGCTGCGCAACGTGTCGCGGGTTCGATTCGCGGAACAATTCTTTGTGTGATCCACGAAGTGTTGTTTCGGGTCTGGGTGTGATGTGTATGTGAAATTGGTCGTTTGTAATCGCACCTACGACACAGGAGAAAATCCTAGTGTGGGGCAACGTTTAAGAAGAAAGAAAGAAAGAATTAATTATTTGAGAGGCAAAATTTTAAGTTTAAGAGAGTCATGCTTTTAGGCACGAATGGGTCGGCTTGACCGGAGTGATACCACGGCCTCACAGAATAACGGCGTGAAGGAAACACTTACGTTGTTTTTCGCCCCCCTTTCCCCTCCTTTTTCCTCCATCCTCTATCCTCAGGCCGGGTCTGTCTTATTGCGCTTGCCCCGCAACCCTGGCAACATCAGCCCTATAGGGCCCCGTCTGTGGTGGTCTATTGGCTCTTTAAAGCGCGCGCGGAACGCTACGCACCGTACGCTCGGGCCTGGTTCTGGTCGGGCAGCGGGCTACCCTTACTCGGCATCCGCAGACCCGCGAGTAGCTCGCAGGTTAAGCTGCCCGCCCTTCCAGTATGAGGATTTTATAGAAAACTAGCTCCCGCCCGCGTCTTTGCAGGCGTATGAAAGTTATGTATCCCGGCATTTTTTAAACACCTTTGTCCCGATCCCGTGGATATTAATAATATTGCAATATCCTGTTGCATGCCAAATTTCAAGCGTCTAACTTAAGCGGATTAGATTTTTCATACAAAAGTATTTTCCCGATAATCTTCATTCCCGTGGCAATTTCGGGAATTCCTTTCTTAGTGCACCTCTACGGTACCTAAGCTACGTCCTTTCCAAATTTCAAGTGTCTACGTTTAGCCGTTTCGGCTATGGCTATGGATATGTCAGTCAGTCAGTTTCTCCTTTTATTATATATTTAGATTCTGACACGAAAAAAAAATTATTTTGGTAATTTAATCTTCGTAAGTCTTGTGGTCTTTAATTTGAAAAAAGTTTGGAATACTATACTCGTCAGTTCTTTCGACCTTATGAAATACATACTTATATAAACATAAGATTTTCACACACAAGTTAATTATTCTATTTACCTAGGTACTCATCACGTTAGAACAAATGCCGGTGGTAAAGAACACGTGTTACTCGTAGTACTTGAAACGTGTTTACGTAAACGCAGTTCCAACGTATACAATTAATCAAAACGCTTAGATACAGGTAAATCACCCAACAATTCATGGTCCAATCTACAAGCTGTTCACATGTAAACAGCAGCTCATGTAGTATAGATGTCCAGTCAACAAGGATGTAGCGAGGTTGACTGTCCAGGCGACACACGTACTTAGGTATCGTCATGAGCTAATGTTCACATGTAAACAGCAGCTCATGTAGTGTAGATGTCAAGTCAACAACGATGTAGCGAGGTTGACTGTCCAGGCGACACACGTACTTAGGTATCGTCATGAGCTAATGTTCACATGTAAACAGCAGCTCATGTAGTGTAGATGTCCAGTCAACAAGGATGTAGCGAGTTGACTGTCCAGGCGACACACGTACTTAGGTATCGTCATGAGCTAATGTTCACATGTAAACAGCAGCTCATGTAGTGTAGATGTCCAGTCAACAACGATGTAGCGAGGTTGACTGTCCAGGCGACACACGTACTTAGGTATCGTCATGAGCTAATGTTCACATGTAAACAGCAGCTCATGTAGTGTAGATGTCCAGTCAACAACGATGTAGCGAGGTTGACTGTCCAGGCGACACACGTACTTAGGTATCGTCATGAGCTAATGTTCACATGTAAACAGCAGCTCATGTAGTGTAGATGTCCAGTCAACAAGGATGTAGCGAGGTTGACTGTCCAGGCGACACACGTACTTAGGTATCGTCATGAGCTAATGTTCACATGTAAACAGCAGCTCATGTAGTGTAGATGTCCAGTCAACAAGGATGTAGCGAGGTTGACTGTCCAGGCGACACACGTACTTAGGTATCGTCATGAGCTAATGTTCACATGTAAACAGCAGCTCATGTAGTGTAGATGTCCAGTCAACAAGGATGTAGCGAGGTTGACTGTCCAGGCGACACACGTACTTAGGTATCGTCATGAGCTAATGTTCACATGTAAACAGCAGCTCATGTAGTGTAGATGTCCAGTCAACAAGGATGTAGCGAGGTTGACTGTCCAGGCGACACACGTACTTAGGTATCGTCATGAGCTAATGTTCACATGTAAACAGCAGCTCATGTAGTGTAGATGTCCAGTCAACAACGATGTAGCGAGGTTGACTGTCCAGGCGACACACGTACTTAGGTATCGTCATGAGCTAATGTTCACATGTAAACAGCAGCTCATGTAGTGTAGATGTCAAGTCAACAACGATGTAGCGAGGTTGACTGTCCAGGCGACACACGTACTTAGGTATCGTCATGAGCTAATGTTCACATGTAAACAGCAGCTCATGTAGTGTAGATGTCCAGTCAACAAGGATGTAGCGAGTTGACTGTCCAGGCGACACACGTACTTAGGTATCGTCATGAGCTAATGTTCACATGTAAACAGCAGCTCATGTAGTGTAGATGTCCAGTCAACAAGGATGTAGCGAGGTTGACTGTCCAGGCGACACACGTACTTAGGTATCGTCATGAGCTAATGTTCACATGTAAACAGCAGCTCATGTAGTGTAGATGTCCAGTCAACAAGGATGTAGCGAGGTTGACTGTCCAGGCGACACACGTACTTAGGTATCGTCATGAGCTAATGTTCACATGTAAACAGCAGCTCATGTAGTGTAGATGTCCAGTCAACAAGGATGTAGCGAGGTTGACTGTCCAGGCGACACACGTACTTAGGTATCGTCATGAGCTAATGTTCACATGTAAACAGCAGCTCATGTAGTGTAGATGTCCAGTCAACAAGGATGTAGCGAGGTTGACTGTCCAGGCGACACACGTACTTAGGTATCGTCATGAGCTAATGTTCACATGTAAACAGCAGCTCATGTAGTGTAGATGTCCAGTCAACAAGGATGTAGCGAGGTTGACTGTCCAGGCGACACACGTACTTAGGTATCGTCATGAGCTAATGTTCACATGTAAACAGCAGCTCATGTAGTGTAGATGTCCAGTCAACAAGGATGTAGCGAGGTTGACTGTCCAGGCGACACACGTACTTAGGTATCGTCATGAGCTAATGTTCACATGTAAACAGCAGCTCATGTAGTGTAGATGTCCAGTCAACAAGGATGTAGCGAGGTTGACTGTCCAGGCGACACACGTACTTAGGTATCGTCATGAGCTAATGTTCACATGTAAACAGCAGCTCATGTAGTGTAGATGTCCAGTCAACAAAGTAGCGAGGTTGACTGCCCAGGCGACACACGTACTTAGGTATCGTCATGAGCTAATGTTCACATGTAAACAGCAGCTCATGTAGTGTAGATGTCCAGTCAACAAGGATGTAGCGAGGTTGACTGTCCAGGCGACCCACGTACTTAGGTATCGTCATGAGCTAATGTTCACATGTAAACAGCAGCTCATGTAGTGTAGATGTCCAGTCAACAAGGATGTAGCGAGGTTGACTGTCCAGGCGACACACGTACTTAGGTATCGTCATGAACTAATGTTCACATGTAAACAGCAGCTCATGTAGTGTAGATTTCTAGTCAAAGATGTAGCGAGGTTGACTGTCCAGGCGACACACGTACTTAGGTATTGTCTTTATCTAACTCGCTATGAGTTTGTATCTTGGTGTATAACAAAGTAATCTGTCATTTCCTTCTTAAAATGATTACACATTAATTTACAAGAATCGTGTAAGGGGTTTAAGCATGTCACTGCTAAAACAAAGCCTTGACCGATTCTCGGATAACGACTTGTAGGTACCAATAATATTATAAATGCGAAATTAACTTTTATTTTTTGCCTCTTAAAGTTTGATCTTCCCAAGCAATCTTGTTGTGATTTTTCATACTTAAAGTTGGGAGTACGAAGTAGGTTAGTTCACACGTGTAAAGACTATTGTAAAAGCAACTTTTTTTTAATGGGATTATAATCAAAGTTGATCGTCGGACTCTTACTGGTTGAAATCCATCCTATTCTTGTTCCTGCTCCAGGCCGGAGGTTCGGTACATTGCGCTTAAGTCATCAGTAACACTATCATGATGAATTTAATGAAAATAATCACTTAAGTACTCACCTGGTTTGACTGAGAAAAGTTCTACTAGTTTTAAGTCACTCGTCATCATCAGCCTATAAGTGCCCACTGCTGAGCAAAAGCCTCTTCTCATACAGAGAAAGTTAGAGCATTAATCACCACGCTTGCTCAATGCGGGTTGTCGATTTCAAACTTATAATTAGAAATTATAAGTCCAGGTTTTCGCGATGTTTACCTTCACCGTGTGTCAGTGATGTCTAAATAATCATAGAAAGTACATATAACTGAGAAAAAGTCACATTGGTACTTGCCAGGTTCCGAACCCATGCATGAGAAGCAGGCGCTTTAACCTCCGAGGCACCACGTTTAATTTTAATGTGATTTTGAAAATATTTAACGTATGTTTCTTTCTTGTTGCAGGTCGGCTGACAGTTGTAATGTTTAGTATATGTACCGTGGTACTAGGTATAATACTATCATTTGTACCATGGTTGGACTATATTATATTTAGAGTGAGTATACTTTTCTATTTTATTCATTTTTCTATCATACATTATCAGCCTATAAGTGCCTACTGCTGAGCAAAGGCCTCTTCTCACACGGAAAAGGTTTGAATTTTTGAAGAATCCCACAAAAAAAATAATTCAGAAAATTGTAGGTACTTCCGGAGAGGAATAATTGAAATAATTTCTTGATTACCTGATGGTAAGCAATCAGCGCCGCCCGCAACAACAGATGAGTTACGAGTGCGCTACCGACGATTTGGGGATTTGGGATTAAGGAGATTTAGGGATTGGGGAGGGATTTGGGAAGGGGAAGGATTTGGCCTTCGGTAACCTCACTCACACGGCGAAATAAAACGCTGTGGTTGCTTCACGCCGGTTTTCTGTGAGGATGACTTCCTGGTATAAGTCCGGTTGGACCATCCCTATCATACTTAAGCGAGGATCTTCAACATTTAAACAATCTATGACCATCATCATCAGCCTATAAGTGCCCACTGCTAAGCAAAGGCCTCTTCTCACACATTTTTTGGTAGTACAGTGAAATTAATACATAAATAATTGTTACAGGAATTGAAATTATGGAACGGCTCCCTTAGCTACAGTTACTGGCATAAACCTGGTGTTATCAGGCTGACGAAGGTGTACATCTTCAACGTGACCAATCCCCAAGGGTTCTTGGAAAATGGGGAGAAACCTAAGCTGGTAGAAGTTGGACCTTTCGTTTATAGGTAGGTATTAACAGGGTTTTTTCCTTCATAAAGGTAACATGAACAGAACCGGACCCTTCTTTGGAAATTGGACGACTAATCAGTAGACGGATTACCTGATGGTAAGCAATCGGAGATACCCCGGGATTACAGGGATTACGGTTATGATGATTGGGGATAGGGGAATTGAGCCTCAGTTAACCTCAATCACACAGCGAAACACAACGCTGTGATTGTTTCACGCTGGTGTTCTTAGAGGCCGTGGTAACACTCCGGTTGGCCCAGCAGGGACGTAATATGGCTCTCCCAAACTTAACTAATACATGTCATATAATGTCTAGACTATCGTGAACGACTAACCGACTTTGTGAAAACTCAAGAATACTTTTGTAATATGGCTCCGTACTAGAATTGTCTTCTCGTCATGGATTCAAAATCATCAATGGACTTCTCCCGCCTTGGGCGAGGCGAGAGGGAGTGTCAGACTCTTATTGACTGAAAACCATCCAGCTTCCTTCTCCTGCCCGAGGCCGGAGCCGCGGAACATCATTGCGGCATGCGGGATGCGTTACCATGGATGCGTTTACATATGATAAGTTTGAAATCACCAATCCTCATTGAGCAAGCGTGGTGATTAATGCTTCTCCGTGTGAGAAGACGCTTTTGCTCAGCAGTGAGCACTTATAGGCTGGTTATACACGTGACTAGATATACTCTCGCGTGGTTTCACCGATGATATTTAAGTGAAGCGTGATATTTTATAGCCTACAGCACTCAGGAACATTGTAGCTATCTATCAGCAAAAGAATTTTGGCATTCTAAAGATCCTTCTACATACAAACTTACAAATTTTACCTCTTTATAATATTAAGTACAGATGCATCTTTAAAAAATGCATGAGCACTGAGCAGAGGTCATATTGAAATTTTGAACGAAAAATGCGATTAAGAAAAAAACAAAATTCTCGTTTATATTATCTTTGGTAAATTTTGAAACCCTTTGGGTCATTCGTTGAGTTGTTTTATTTTTTTAAACGTAACTCGTACTGCGTCATACTAAGCCCTTTTGGGTTGTATTCAATTCGAAAAATGAGATTGGAGTCTGCTTTTTTTTTCTATGTATGTAGGTACTTTTAAGTTAAGTTTATTTTGTGGGTTTATATTGAAACGACCCGCCTCGATTTCGCACGGATGCAATGTTGATACGAAATTTCTCCACAATTTAATGGATGTTATCTTGCTATAATATTATAAATGCTAAAGTTACAATGTTTGGATGTTTGTTACTCAATCACACGAAAACGACTTGACGGATCTGGATGAAATTTGGCACAGGCATAGAATACACTCTGGAATAGGACATATAATTTCATATACACAAGCCACCCAGATTTGGAACAACAATTTGTGGATCACACAAAGAGTTGTTCCGTGCGGGTAACGAACCAGCGACACATTGCACGGCAGCCAGTTGGCCAGCCACCGCACCAACCGTGCAATCAACCAACCTCTGACGACATCCCATCTCATTTATTTTAATAACCAACTTTACTATAGTCATTCTTGACGTGGATAATTTCAATTACAGTTTTAAATGCATATAATATATAAATAATCACCTGTGTAATGACGTATGTGATACTCGTTGGAAAATTATGAAAATAGAAAATGGAAAAACCTGTTTCGTAACTGTTTTTAAGAGTTGAGTCGTACTTCTGAAGAGTAACAATCAGTATTTTAAATGTTATCTAACTTAACCGACTCCTTAGACGCTGGGCGATCTCCAGTCACCCTAAGCGTCGGGCACGCTACTATAGTAGCGGTAAGACCCCTCTTTGAGGAGTGACTTGAGAGACGCCTTGGCGTCCTCACCTTCCGCCTGACGCAGGTGTTTACTGTTTCGGATCCGGCGGTAGAAAACACCCGAGTGTCGTCATTGTAAGGACCCAAAGCACATACGGTGGCAGTGAGCCCTGCATGGGCTGACCATCGCCGTGCCCTCAGGGAAGTGATTAGCTGCGGTGGCCTCTCTTCTCCTCTTCCTATGAAGCATTTATGCTTGCAAAGAAGGAAGCAGGGCGCTTGACGGAGCTATCCTCCTCCTCACACCCCAGCCGGAGATGCCGGAGTAGGCAACACTCCAGGGGGAATCGAGAGATTGACCACCGTACTGACCAGAACCATACCAAAACGTAACGTACTGCCCGAGTCTCAAAGACCCAAAAGACTACAACACATTGGGTCCAACATAGCAGATATTCAGCTGGGCAACTTCGGATGTCGGCGCAATTATGTACCCCAACATGGCTTGGAGCAGGAGAAGGGATGGTTCAGTAAGAGTATGACTCTGATACTTCCTCTCGCCTCATCCAGGACAAGAGAAGTCGTTTGGTAATTTTCGAAAAAAAGGGTACACAAACAACAGTGTAATGCTATGGATACAAAACTTTAAACCACAGTTTTGTTGCTTTAAACTTTCATAAAGAATCGCCGTAACCACAGGTAAAAACCGCACAGAAATCGGTTAAGTCATTTTCGAGTTTATCGCTAACAAACCATCGGACATGTCAGTGAACTTGGTTTCGTTTATTTTTAGACTTTCTGTTACCTGCTGCTTAAAAAGTATCTTTTAACATTCACTAACGTCCTATACCTTTAATAATCTTAATAATACACCGTCAAAATAAATGGAGAAGAAAATGAAAGTCTGGGAGAGGCGTCCTTCAGCGAAGGTTTTTATTATATTTGGTAAACCATACATTGATTTTTAAAGTGTGGGAGAGCCATGCTTCGGCACGAATGGGTCGGCTCGATCGGAGTGATACCCGTGGTGATACCACGGCCTCACAGAAAACCGGCGTGAAATAACTAAAGAGTTGTGTTTCGCCGTGTGAGTGAGGTTACCGGAGGCCCAATCCGTCCCCTTACCCAATCCCTCCCCAATCCCAAAACCTCCAAATCCCTAATCCCTAAAAGGTCAGCAACGAACTATCAATTCAATTTCACAACAAGTCAGTTTTACACTTTTTTAAATTTTCTTTTAAATTTTTGTTTACGTGGAATTTTTTTACACGAATAATACAAGATCAAAATTAGCCAAATCGGTAAAGGCATTGTTGAGTTATCGCAACGATACATTGCAACGAAAATATTGATTTTTATATAGATAAGTGTGGGAGAGCCATGCTTCGGCACGAATGGGTCGGCTCGATCGGAGCGATACCACGGCCTCACAGAAAACCGGCGTGAAATAACTAAAGAGTTGTGTTTCGCCGTGTGAGTGAGGTTACCGGAGGCCCAATCCTTTCCCTACCCCAATCCGTTCCCTTTCCCAAAATCACCAAATCCCTAATCCCAAAAAGGTCACCAACGCACTTGTAACTCCTCTGTTGTTGCGGGTGTCCATGGGCGGCGCTGATTGCTTACCATCAGGTAATCCATCTGCTCGTGTACCGACCTTATCACATAAAAAAAACTTTAAAAACACACTTTAAACAAGTCAATTTTACACTTTTTCAAGTTTTCTTTTTAATTTTTGTTTACGTGGAATTTTTTACACGAATAACTCAAGATCAAAATTAGCCAAATCGGTAAAGCTAAAGGCATTGCAACGAAAATATTGATATATATTTTTATATAGATAAGGTAGATAGATAGATAGATAGATAACACATTTATTCAGCACAAACAAGAACAGACACAAATTTATTGACAAACAAGTGGGTACACAATACAAATTAACAAGAAAATGACACAAAATACAATCAAACAAAAAAAAATGTAAATAAATATTACGTATTAGACGGGTAGTTAGTACGAAAGAAAGAACATAAAGAACGAGAAAAAAGGAGAAAAATAATAATAAAATACGGCGCGGTTCAGTGTGTCTTTAGTTTGCACCGAATGGGAGTCCAGCTCAGCATGTGTCAAGTATATACCTGACGCTGGTATTCTGCTGGATCCCTGCAATGACGCACGGACGTCGAGCAGGCCGAACAATGAACATTAAAGGCGTAAGTCAGTGCTCAGTTTTTTGTGTTTTTGAGATTAGTGTTTTAGGTTCTGTGTGTGTAGTGTTTCAATATGGACTATTGAGGGTGACTAATACTGACTTATAAAACTGTGTCATCATGTAAGCTATATATAATATATATTTATTTATTTTTTTAGTTTAAGATTACTATGATCACCAATCTTGTTATTCAGTTGTACTACTTAAGTACTTTTATTTTGTTTTTTAAATTTGTATTGTTTTTCTTGTATTTAATCCTAATTAGTTTTTTTTTTTAAGTACCTAGATAATAATATTTATATAAAATTAACAATACAACTTAATGGCGTAAGCTGTAATGTTGTATATGTAAATATTCTTAAAAAATAAATAAATTTCTTTGGACTTCGAATGAATCAGAATAAGGAATATCATAGATCATACAAGAAGGTAAATAATAAGATACAAATTACCTAAACTAGGAATTGAATCCAGGGTCGCGTTTAACGCCCACATCACACACACGATCACACTAAATCAATACAGTATTATTTTAATTTCATAATAATTTATTTATGAGAACAAATTTTCCCACTACGGTTGGCAAGGTTGTCAAATTTTGGCAAATATATGACTCAGATTCTATTCCGGCTAATGTCCTTTGATGCAAGGAGAAATCTATTTTAGCGTGGTTAAAAAACCGTCGTGGTAGCCATGAGGTTAAGGCATCAATTTCTCATGCAAGGATTTGAAACCTGGCAAGTACCAATATGACTTTTTCCAAGTTATATGTACTTTCTATGATTATTTAGACACCACTGCCATACTGTGACGGTAAACATCGAGAGGAAATCTGGTCTTATAATTTGTAATTATAAGTTTTAAATCGACAATCCGCCTTAAGCAAGCGTGGTGGTTAATGCTCAAACCTTCTCCGTGTGAGAAGAGGTCTTTGCTTAGCAGTGGACACTTATAAGCTGATGATGAGAATTAAGCCATAGCTAAGAATCCAAATATCACCATCCCTGACC